GGTTTTCACATGTTGTTTAACTCCAGTAAAGTTTGATCCAGCATCTGATGCATACTAAGGTTTTCTTCTTTGGCATGCGCCACTTTCTCTGTTGTGGGATTAGAAAATTAAAACATGAATAGCAGTTCTTTGGAGGCACTGATTCTCAGAACATGAAGGCATGCAATCATCATTTCTATTGAAGAGTTTAGAAAGTTTAAAGAAATGTGCATGCTCATAAATACCCATGTCTCCAGACAACACAATTAGAGAAAATTCCAGATTAATAAAACAAACGGCAAGTAATACAAGTTTAGAAGTGTTTACAGCTGCATTTGTTAAGAAAATGCACTGCCAACAGAGACGCAATTCTTGCATGTTCTGGAAGCTCTTTGCTTACAGGAATGTGGGATGGTGAATAGCTTTTTTTTTTTTTTTAAGGTAGGGCAATAAAGAAAATAATTATTTTCTTTGCAGATCCATATTTAAGTTTCATGTAATTCAGAACTTGCAAAGAACAAAAAAATTACAACCAATATCCTCTTCAGTGAAGTGACCTTTAAGAAATCTATTTCTTCTAGAAAATGAATAAAATCAAAGTTAGCAGCTTTATGTTGCATGCACACTTTTATAGGACAGTCGTTTAACACACTTATTTGATATAATAAATGAGCACAATGTTCTAGAGCTGCATTCTACCAGACTCCAGTAATAGTAACTTCATACTAATGCAAGCATACCTTAAAACTGACCAGGTATTTTCAGATGGAGCTCCCAGTCCTAGCCTTTTTTTTTTTTTTTTTTAAAGTCAAATACAAGCCCAATTCATAGTAACACAAAATTAATGCATTAGAGTCTCCAGATAACAAAATAGCTATAAGTATCCTTTATGTTGGTTTTGAAATACGGAAATATGAATCCTGGTGAACATTTTTCTCTTGTCCACGTTCTAGTAAAAGTCTCAGGGCCAATTCATGATGTCAGGTAAACTGAGTGTTTCTCTACAAGGCAGGCTGTTACTTTTCGGATACTGTTAGCTAAATGCTGTAGCTGTTTACTGAAGAGGAAAGGAGCTATTGCATAGCCAAAGAGCTTACTGCTCCTCCAAAGTAGGTGTGCATACACATAATGAAAAGCCTCATCCAGAAGAAGCATTTTCATATTTTTCCAACAGAAACTGAGAATTTAATCCATTAATTTACCACAGAATCAACAGCCTGAAAAAATCAATTTCTAGGTTTCTTGCTTTTTTCTACATCTACTGATTCATTCTTAAGGAAATTTGGAAGAAGCAGTTTTTAAACAAGTTAACAATATAGTCACACTAAAGTTTAATCCTCATTCAATGCCAGCTTTAGTTCATTAGTTAGGCGACTGTTTTGCTCAAGTTGCTGGTAGAGTTGGTCTGTACAGGCAGCAAGCAGGTTAGAAGGGAAAAAAAGAGGCAGAATGAAGACAGATTAGACAGAGAAAACAGTTAGGTAAGAGTTAATAAAGAAACTGGTCACACCACAGACAGTTCAGTAACATACAGAGAAACATTTTACCTTTGTTGCTAGAACTCTAGTAATTAAATAGCTACTCCAAGGAACAGCTATTATAACCTATGAAGAACTGGCTAAGACTCCTGTTGTGAGGAACAGCTGTGAGACAGGTAAGCGGGAATAGAAATGGAAGATGCAGCTATATTCCTAGAAGAACCAAGTCCTGCTTTAATCTTACAATGCCACTCTCAACTCCTGCTTTAATACGTACAATGTGTGGAAGATTTGTTTTATGAGTGCCATTTTTCTTTGTAAACTATTTAAGACGTGGTGGAACCTCATCTGTCAGTGGAGGGAAAGCAACTGCATCACAACCAGGGTGCGTAACAGCAGGAGAGATGCTGGTAGCCAGCTACCACTAGGTCTGACTCAGCCCATACTCCTTTCCTGGGGAATCTGACAGCTGAAATGGTATTTTTGGTAGGGAAACATACTTCTGTTACTGTGATCAACACACTTTGATATCTTTAAATTGTCCAGTTGTACTTCGTAAGAAAACAAACCCAAACATTCAGTGAAAATGAAATGGAAGCATGAAAACCTGTGTTGCTCAGATACAGCAAATGGAGAAGACAGTTCAAGGTCAAAGAGAACAGCCACAGCTATGTTGTGACAGTGCATTTAGTGAGAGTTGTTCTGCAGAGTGAAAGAATGCTCCGTGATGGTTTTTGACTGTCTTGTTTTCTCAAATTGTCCATATTCTTCTCAATAGTCTAGATTCAAACTGCACTCCTGACCTCTTGATCCCAGATTATTCTCCTACAGGAAATGACTGTTTCTGATTCTTTTCCACAAGCTTCCTAACAGCTTCCACAGAAATCCTCTTCCCCTGCAGGCTCTGGACACAGCAATGGCAAAGCTGTGCAGTGAGCTGGTCTGTAGGACATACTTGTGTAGTGAGCAGCAACTCCTCACAGCTTCCTCCCCAGCCCAAACTCCAACAGCCAGCTCAGTAAAACCAGGGCACATTTCAGAACTGATCCTGAACCAGTAACATCTGGGTCTTCTCTCTCTCTTATCAGGATGTCACATATACGTGGAAAAAACATTGAAACCTTAGAGTAACTAAAATTTCACTTTGTTTGGCAAAGTGTATTTAGTTGTTATTCAAACATGACAACATAATTTGAACTGAGAACTTGATGCTTACCTTCATCACAGAAAACTACTCTCTTTAATTGAGGCAGAAATTTACAGTATTTCTCAACATCCAAAATGAGACTAAAACCCCCAGGTAAAGCATGGAAAGCATTTACCAAGTGTACCGTCAGCCCTTGATTACCTCCAGGCAGTCTGTCTAGGTTGCGATTTACCACAGAGGTAGAGCCAAGGGCTGGCTCTGTAGGCAGCCACCTTAGACCAAACAGGGAGTTCAAGCTCTGGTGCGGACCCAGTGAGGATCAGCCTCAGCACAGCAGAGAGCCCAGGCAAATGAGAGATCAAAGCCAGCCCTGCACTCCTGTCAACAAGCCTCATGTACATGACTAGCTACACATGGCCAGACCTCATGGGATGTACGACATAATGCACAGGTCAGGTCCAACAGTGACAAGAGTGCTGAAATATGCTGCAGCGAGAAACCACAACAGCTCCGTGGAGTCAAGATCAGTGCAGTAAGGCCAGCTAGGAATTCTGTACGCAGCTACCTGGGTATCTGCATTGCATTGCCCATTTCCAGTACTCTGTCCAGCAATTCATCCATCACCCTACAGTACAGAGAGCCGATTATGTGTGTTTGAAGGAAAAGGCAAGATTTAAATACTGATATTCAAAATTACTGTGTTAAAAATTACCAGGTTCCTACATTGGATTTTGCTTTTTTTACTTCTCTTAAGAAACAACAGTACTGCAAGGAATTGAGGGGAAAAACAACACTGCTGACACAATAAACCAAAACAGACAATAGATTAAGGGGCTGGAGCTGCTGTAGCATGAGTTACTCTGGCTCAGCTGACAAGCGACAGCTCACCACATCCCCCATAACTCTTGCATTTGTGAAGTTAACCACGTTAGCGTCAGTCATTTTACAAATGCTCATCCCATTATATTTGATTAACCTCCACGCTAAACGTTTTACTTTTCAGTTGCAATACACAGTGTATAAACCCACTTACTGTATCTCAACTGATGAGTAATAAGTTATTGAACTTTACTATCTGGACTACCTGTGACTGCTGACACATATCCTGTACTTGGGCTTCTCCCCATAGCCAGTAACGTTAGGACACGTGTAATGGGATAAGACGAAGTTATCTGAGGACGGCAGGGGGGAACACGATGCATCCATTTGCAAGCCTTATTTGTAAAACAGGTTTTGGGGAGGGGAAGAAATCTAGCCTAGACTGCACTGCTGAATAATCTTGACGTTGAACAAGAAAGCCACATTTACATTATTCTACAAGCTAAAAACTAAAACTCAGCTATACTATGATGAGTTTATTTAGCTGTGGTGACTTAGGAACTTTAGCAATATACACAGTGACAGGCATAATCAGAAATCAATCCAGTTTAAACTGATTCACTTTAATATGAACTGGAAAATAACTCCTTTCATTGTGAAGAAAATGAAGTTAAAATAATGCAATAAACTCTCTAGTTGCAAATAACAGCGCAAAAAAGCAAGTTGTCAGTATTTAATGCTTCATCCTTAATTAGGCACTGCCAAATCAGCTGAAAGCCAATGGTTAGGCTTTCAAACCTGAAACCTGTATGTTCCACTTTGCAGCAGAATCATTTCATTATTAGTGTAATGAGAGTTTTCCTACTCCAGTTCTGAAACATTTCTCATGAGTCTGCAATTCAAACTCACAATTTTGAACTAAG